TTTGACAACAGATGGAAATGCAGCCATTTTTCTCTATTGCTTTTAGAGTTAGTTGATGCTGGGAGGGGGAATGTGGATGAGAGTCCAGCTAGTCATAACAATAATAACTCAGCCGTGGGAACCCAAGGTCATTGGGCCCAGAGTTGATAGAGTTTTGGCGGGCTGGAGAGAAAGCCCCCGCTTCAAGCTAATTGGGGAATGTGATTTATGACTGTTTATTGGAGGAGGGAATTGTGCTTTGTTACTTTGTATCCAGGGGAGGGGAATTTAGTTTTTGGTTTCGACTATGTAGTGCCGATACTTTGTTTCTCAAATAAAAGATTCTTTAAGGTAAACAATGCTTCGAAATTCTTTTGAAGAGTTTCATCTGTCGGAACCATGACAGTAGGATTTAAGGCTTGGTGAAATTAAACTCTCCAATGATCTTCTACAGGCCAAGAGGGAAAAATGTACTTTTTACTTAGTGCCTTCAAATGCCAAAGGAAAACAGGAAAAAGGAGCCTTCTCAAATGTCAGCACTATTTATTTATTTAGTTACTGCATTTATACTGTCAACACTGAAGGCAGTTCACCCGGGAGGGTGGGGGTTACTTCCCTTATTTCATTCTTCCAGCTATACCTTTTGGAGGTTGGGTGTGCTGAGAATGAATGGCCCTTAATTATTTCCTAGAGTCCCTGGTCAAGTGGGGACTTAAACCTGATCCTCTTCAAAGTTCAACTCATTAACCACAGTAGAATAATCTTTTATTTTGATACTCTTTGAATGTGTTAGATTACATTTCCCAGAATCCTCAACCAAAGAAAACTTAGCATCAGCATACCAAACCACAGGGAAGCAGAAAAAGATTGATCTTGCTTGCCCTATGTAATGAAGGCAGTGAAATGCTATGAAAGACACATCAAGAGAAAGATGTAGAGAAGTGCCAATTTCGCACCACAATCAGAATGGACAATCTGAGTTTCTAGGATTGTTGGAAGAGCCTATGCTCCCTATAAGCACTTTTGCACCAAACTGGTAGTGTTTGCTGCTAGTTTGAGATGAAAAGTACGTGAACCCTGTAGCTTAAATCCTACAACACAATTTCTCGTCCTCAGAGCATAGGAAAACAGAGCTCTCCCATGTGTGAGAAACAGCCATGCTCACTTTGCATCACTGCCTACTCACTTTTCCTCCTTCTCAAATGTTAAGTGGAACATCTGGCTTCCAAAATACTACCTTTCCTTGACTTCAACTGTCAGCATTTATCCTTAGGGCCAAGAACCATTATGTGGTTGACAGCAATCTTCTACATGGCAGACCAGCATTAACCTAGACTCTTAGACGACTCATCCTGATTCAAGGTATGTGAGTCAGGTAATATCCATTCAGGTTGCCCAAAGCTGTGTACATAACTCACAATTTACCATTCCTATTTATTGTGAAAGACCTGTTGCAACAGAATTTGTTATATCTTTGGGAAGTTTTATCTCAGGAAAACACTCAGGGCTGCTATAAAAATCAATTTCGCTCAAGCATTCATGGAATTTGGGAAAGGAGATAGCTGAACCTTTCTTTTGGAAGAATATGTCAATGTTTAATATTAATCTATAAGCCACCAAGTCTTCTCTCAAATAATTTAATTGCCATTGTCAGTGAGAGACTTTCTGTTTTTAGGATTCTGAAGATGTTTCTTATCTTGTTCTTAAAATAAACCTTTTTTTAAAAAAAAAAGAAAAGAAAGGAGAAGCACGCTATTATTTTTCTATCACAGAGTAGAAAAGTGACTCAGCTCTCTGAACTCCTGAAAATTTTGTTTAGCTGGGGAATTTCTCATCCGCTAGTTGCCAACTGTCATGACATTAAGCACAGCAAATTGCTAGCCATGGCTAGCAAAGATGGGAGTGTGACTTGTACTTGTTACCAGGTGTAGAGTACCTTCAGAAATCTAAGCCAGTTTCCTTTGAATTCCATTTTCCTTCACATGAGCAAGAGAGCGGAGGGCAGGGGCGACCGAGCATGCACCTCCCTGGACAACACTGGAGAGAGAGGGTTGGAAATACCTACAGGCAGCAAGGGGATCAATCAGAGCAGGAAGGTCTATGGGCACCACAGCAGTTGCCTAAACCAGGGCTTTTCAACCAGTGGTACGGGTACCACCTGTGGTACATTGGCACCTGGCAGGTGGTACGCGACCATCCTAGAAAAGTGGTAGCGGGGGAGGGGAATGAGCTGAACCGGTGGCAGCACCGCACAAGCCTGAGCGAGAGATGGCTGGAGCTGCAGGGCTGTCAGGGCTCAGCAGAAGCACCAGGATCAGTGCCGCTTTCCAGCTGATTGTCGCTTCTTTGGGGCTGTCAGGGCTCAGTGGAAGTGCCAGGATCAGCACCAGGCTCCAGTTGGAGTTCGGCGCTGATCCTGGCGCTTCTGCTGAGCCCTGAAGAAGCACCAATCAGCTGGAAAGCAGCACTGATCCTGGCGCTTCTGCTGAGCCCAGAAGAAGCACCGATCAGCTGGAATGTTGCAGCATCTCCAGGGTCTTGTGATTTACATTCAGATGCTTGGCAACTGATTCATATTTATGACGGTCACAGTGTCTCAGGGTCATGTGAAGTGACCAAAACCTGCTCCAACCACCCAGCAGACGGGGGGAATAAAAACCAAATACCCCCCACCCCACCCCCACTGCCAATCCTCAACAGAAATGCTCACAACAATGAAAACCTCGGACAGGAGGAAGAGCGCCGCCAGGTGGGCAGGCAGGTGTCTTGCTCGGCTGTGGCTTGGGGGGCACTTTTTTCAGTGCCATTGTAACTTCAAACAGTCACTAAGCGAACTGTTGTAAGTCGAGGACTACCTGTACTTTATCACTTTTTCCTTTTTTTTTTTTTGGTCATCAAGTTTTTGACACCTTGCTGGGCGACTGGTGGTACTCGGATATTGCCATATCCTAAAAGTGGTACAATGGGTGAAAAGGTTGAAAAGCCCTGGCCTAAACAACGCAGGCACCCTGAAGGTTTGAAAGACATCCCATTGCAGCAGTGGGGGAGGAAGAGAGAGGCAGGGAAAAGGGTAGAGCTTGAGGAACGCAGGCCTCCTCCCTCTAGGGAGCAACTCCGGGAGCACAGATGAGAACTCCCTTCCTGGGAGCCACCTGCTGCTATCTCCCCCTGCACCTCCACAGAGGTTCTGATCCTGCCGCCACTTTCCCACAAGCGCCCTGGGCTGAGGTTCCCACTGCAGCCCCTGCCCCGCATGCTACCACCGGCCCCTGCATTCCCTTCTCTCCCGGTTCACTCCAGCGCCCCAACCAGGTGAGACAGCTGGGAGGACAGGGGCACCACAGGCACAGCTAATAGGCCTGTGCAGGGAACCGGCTATGGACATTTCTCCCACAGCACATTGCCCGCAATTGTGGGAAGGCCAGTGGAGGAATAATGGCGACAGGGAAGCACCGGAGGGGAGGGGCAGTTAGGGAAAAACACCCACGGTGGGTCAACTGGGGTGGGGTAGGGTGAAATGGCCATAACCATGTGGCCGCAACCAATTGTTCCATTATACCCTCAGAGTATAATGAAACAACCTGTACATTTGTTTAATAAACACACTGGAGAGAGCAGGGATGACTGTTCATTAACTGAGGCAATTCATTTGTTTGTCCCAACCTCCGACCCTAATGGGCAGGATCCCTTACAGTCATAACTTGAGGTCTACCTGCAAATGACCACGGTATCATGCTGCGGCGTCTCGGTGGGTTAGGAGTGGGAGGCACCGTTATGCGGTGGTTCTCCTCCTTCCTCACCGACCGTACGCAGTCTGTATTGGCAGGGGGACAGAGGTCGACTCCTAGGCCCCTCACTTGTGGGGTGCCTCAGGGGTCGGTCCTCTCCCCCCTCTTGTTCAATATTTATGTAAAGCCACTGGGAGAGATCATTCGTGGCTTTGGGGTGGATTTCCATCAGTACGCTGACGATACGCAGCTGTACATTTCCACCCCAGGCCACCCCAACGATGCCCTTGACGTGATGGCCCGTTGCCTGGAGGCCGTACGGGTCTGGATGG